GGGGGAGGTGTTATCAAGGACAGGTACATCAGGGGAGGTGTTATCAAGGACAGGTACATCTAAGGGAGGTGTTGTCAAGGACAGGTACATCTAAGGGAGGTGTTATCAAGGACAGGTACATCGGGGGAGGTGTTGTCAAGGACAGGTACATCAGGGGAGGTGTTATCAAGGACAGGTACATCTGAGGGAGGTGTTATCAAGGACAGGTACATCAGGGGAGGTGTTATCAAGGACAGGTACATCTGAGGGAGGTGTTATCAAGGACAGGTACATCCGAGGGAGGTGTTATCAAGGACAGGTACATCTGAGGGAGGTGTTGTCAAGGACAGGTACATCAGGGGGAGGTGTTATCAAGGACAGGTACATCTGAGGGAGGTGTTGTCAAGGACCGACACATCATGGGGAGGTGTTGTCAAGGACAGGTATATAAGGAGGGAGGTGTTGTCATGGGGAGGTATTGTCAGGGACAGGTACATCATGGGGAGGTGTTGTCAAGGACAGGTACATCAGGGGGAGGTGTTGTCAAGGACAGGTACATCAGGGGGAGGTGTTATCAAGGACAGGTACATCAGGGGGAGGTGTTTTCAGGGACAGGTACATCGGGGGAGGTGTTGTCAAGGACAGGTACATCATGGGGAGGGGTTGTCAAGGACAGGTACATCAGGGGGAGGGGTTATCAAGGACAGGTACATCAGGGGGAGGTGTTATCAAGGGCAGTTACATCAGGGGGAGGTGTTTTCAGGGACAGGTACACCGGGGGAGGTGTTGTCAAGGACAGGTACATCATGGGGAGGGGTTGTCAAGGACAGGTACATCATGGGGAGGGGTTGTCAAGGACAGGTACATCAGGGGGAGGTGTTGTCAAGGACAGGTATATAAGGAGGGAGGTGTTGTCAGGGACTGTTCCTTCAAGGACAGGTATATCAGAGGGAGATGTTGTCAGGAACAGACACATCTTTGCGAGGTGTTGTCAAGGACAGGTATATAAGGAGGGAGGTGTTGTCAGGGATAGGTTCATCAGGGGGAGGGGTTGTCAAGGACAGGTATATAAGGAGGGAGGTGTTGTCAGGGATAGGTTCATCAGGGGGAGGTGTTGTCAAGGACAGACACAGCATGGGGAGGTGTTGTCAAGGACAGCCATATCATGGGGAGGTGTTGTCAAGGACAGGTATATAAGGAGGAAGGTGTTGTCAGGGACAGGTACATCAGGGGGAGGTGTTGTCAAGGACAGGTATATAAGGAGGGGTGTGTTGTCAAGGACAGGTATATAAGGAGGGAGGTGTTGTCAGGGACAGGTTCTTCAAAGACAGGTACATCAGGGGGATGTGCTGTCAGGAATAGGTACATCAGGGGGAGGTGTTGTCAAGGACAGGTATATAAGAAGGGAGGTGTTGTCAGGGACAGGTTCTTCAAGGACAGTACATCAGGGGGAGGTGTTGTCAGGGCTGGATACATGAGAGGTACTGGAGAAATGTGTGAGGCATTGATACCATTGAGTACATCGGTGTACTGTATGCCTTTTGTGTTGATTGTAATGATTATCTTTAATCACATCAGCTCTGCTGCACATCCTGTCTGATAACGCAGCAGGTTAACTTAACACACAAGCAACGGAACACACCGCTACAAATTGGTTTGGATTTTTTCATTGAAATTTTACGATCGATTAAAATGGCAGAAAAGAATTTACATTACAGTGCCAGGCAGCTACGTTAAAGACAGCTAGACTGTGATAATGTTCCAATTTTCAACACATTTGCCTCTCTGATTAAATTTTTTTGCCAATTCATTAATTTGAGATATGGCAGTAGAAATCATCAAACTAGAGTAGCTCTGTCTGTGTAGGGCTATGTAGGAGACAGACAAACAAATGAATACAATAGTTTTAATGTCTGTCATTGTCTGTGTACTCTAGCCCCACTACCTTACCACTCACGCAGCATCTATAATACATGTTTATGTGCAGCGCCTTACCGTGGGGACGTCACATGGGATTGTAAAGGGCCTTACTTTGGGGTAAAAAAAGCTCTGTCTGTCTAAAGGACACATCAATGCATGACCCCTGTGATGTGAGTGGGGACATAACAGATCCATCAGATTGTGAGATAACCCTATGTCCAGTCCCATGTTCATTGCAATAAATCCAGAAACGACCTTGACCTCATAGTGTTCCCTATATACCTTAAAGTTTTATTTTTGTTATGTTTCCAAGATACCTTTAACTTTGACCTCTGATTTGTTACCCTAGATACGTTTAACTTTGACCTCTGCTTTGTTATCCTAGATACCTTTAACTTTGACCTCTGCTTTGTTACCCTAGATACCTTTAACTTTGATCTCTGCTTTGTTACCCTAGATACCTTAAACTTTGACCTCTGCTTTGTTACCCTAGATATGTTTAACCTTGCCCTCTGCTTTGTTACCCTAGATACCTTTAACTTTGACCTCTGCTTTGTTACCCTACATATCTTTAACTTTGACCTCTGCTTTGTTACCCTAGATACCTTTTAACTTTGACCTCTGCTTTGTTACCCTAGATACGTTAAACCTTGACCTCTGCTTTGTTACCCTATATACATTTAATTTTGACCTCTGCTTTGTTACCCTAGATACCTTTAACTTTGACCTCTGCTTTGTTACTCTACATACCTTTAACTTTGACCTCTGCTTGGTTACCCTAGATATGTTTAACCTTGACCTCTGCTTTGTTACCCTACATACCTTAAACTTTGACCTCTGCTTTGTTACCCTAGATATGTTTAACCTTGACCTCTGCTTTGTTACCCTACATACATTTAACTTTGACCTCTGCTTTGTTAACCTAGATACCTTAAACTTTGACCTCTGTGTATTAATTGCCCTTGATATTTCAAAATTTGACCCCTGCTTTGTTTCCCAAAGAGGTACCTAGAACTTTGGTTTTTGTATTGTTACCCTTGGTATGGTGAAGTTTGACCTCTGTTACAATTAAAACTTGAATAATACCCCTAAATACCAGGGTGGCTCTAGTGTTATTAAAAACTGACGAGGTCATTTACTGACAAATAATTCGAAGAAAATGGGATGGAACCGAAGCAAAACTTCTGAGAAAACTCAACATTACTTTATCCACCAGTGATATTTGATCAAGCCCTGCTTCGCCTTATAATACAGCCATCTTGATGGGGCATACTATAGTATAACATTGTCTTAAAACTTCAAATGGTGATTTTTTCCTAGCAAAATAATATACTAAGAACATATCTAAAAAGAAAAATACTCATGTCATCTAGAAATGAAATGATTACAGGAACCATTTATTTTGAAAAGTGTGTTGGATGATTAAGGAAGTATTTACAGAATAATTCACAGCATTTAGTAATCCACCTTAATACCAAAATCAAACTAATCGTAAACATTTAGCTGGGCTAGCACTATATTGAGGCTAATTGTGGATTGATGAGAGTTTGTCCTCCGTTTGACACGTTCTAGCTGTCACATGAAGATATAGAACGTGTTGATATGTAGCTTTTAGACAAACAGCTCTATGACTCAATTCAATCATTGTATGATACATATACTATACTTTAATCAATCTAAATATAGATTAAGGGGGAGATAACTGTGAGGTTACACAGTGACTTGTTATGTGGTACAAAACCAGAAACAAAGAAATGAAGGGGGTAAATACTCTCATAGAAAAACACAACTTTCATTTGAGTAAATAGACATTTTTTTTGTATTCTTATAGGTAAAGATACTGGAGAGGAAGAGCTAATGGCCGACTCAACATCTCAACCAGGAGAAGAACAGAAGGAGGAACAAGAGGAGGACCAAGGAAGGTATATAATATACACCATCTTCCAATGTACCGCCCCAAACCCTTCCCCTGCCACACACTTTCTACCCGTGTCCTAAAACCCTGTATAACACTGCACTGTCACCATACAGCAGCCCTTTTTTATGCTACCTACTTCTATAGCCCAGTTCCCTTCCTGCCAGCCATTACCTCAGCTTTCTACACTCATCTTACCCTACCAGCCAAACTTTCAATCTCTCATCACTTCTTTCTCCATACAACAACATTTATTCAAAACTTCTACGTCTTCTCCACTCTGATCTTTGTACCTGACCATACACGTCTACGTCTACTCCACTCTGATCTTTGTACCTGACCATACACGTCTACGTCTACTCCACTCTGATCTTTGTACCTGACCATACACGTCTACGTCTACTCCACTCTGATCTTTGTACCTGACCATACACGTCTACGTCTACTCCACTCTGATCTTTGTACCTGACCATACACGTCTACGTCTACTCCACTCTGATCTTTGTACCTGACCATACACGTCTACGTCTACTCCACTCTGATCTTTGTACCTGACCATACACGTCTACGTCTACTCCACTCTGATCTTTGTACCTGACCATACACGTCTACGTCTACTCCACTCTGATCTTTGTACCTGACCATACACGTCTACGTCTACTCCACTCTGATCTTTGTACCTGACCATACACGTCTACGTCTACTCCACTCTGATCTTTGTACCTGACCATACACGTCTACGTCTACTCCACTCTGATCTTTGTACCTGACCATACACGTCTACGTCTACTCCACTCTGATCTTTGTACCTGACCATACACGTCTACGTCTACTCCACTCTGATCTTTGTACCTGACCATACACGTCTACGTCTACTCCACTCTGATCTTTGTACCTGACCATACACGTCTACGTCTACTCCACTCTGATCTTTGTACCTGACCATACACGTCTACGTCTACTCCACTCTGATCTTTGTACCTGACCATACACGTCTACGTCTACTCCACTCTGATCTTTGTACCTGACCATACACGTCTACGTCTACTCCACTCTGATCTTTGTACCTGACCATACACGTCTACGTCTACTCCACTCTGATCTTTGTACCTGACCATACACGTCTACGTCTACTCCACTCTGATCTTTGTACCTGACCATACACGTCTACGTCTACTCCACTCTGATCTTTGTACCTGACCATACACGTCTACGTCTACTCCACTCTGATCTTTGTACCTGACCATACACGTCTACGTCTACTCCACTCTGATCTTTGTACCTGACCATACACGTCTACGTCTACTCCACTCTGATCTTTGTACCTGACCATACACGTCTACGTCTACTCCACTCTGATCTTTGTACCTGACCATACACGTCTACGTCTACTCCACTCTGATCTTTGTACCTGACCATACACGTCTACGTCTACTCCACTCTGATCTTTGTACCTGACCATACACGTCTACGTCTACTCCACTCTGATCTTTGTACCTGACCATACACGTCTACGTCTACTCCACTCTGATCTTTGTACCTGACCATACACGTCTACGTCTACTCCACTCTGATCTTTGTACCTGACCATACACGTCTACGTCTACTCCACTCTGATCTTTGTACCTGACCATACACGTCTACGTCTACTCCACTCTGATCTTTGTACCTGACCATACACGTCTACGTCTACTCCACTCTGATCTTTGTACCTGACCATACACGTCTACGTCTACTCCACTCTGATCTTTGTACCTGACCATACACGTCTACGTCTACTCCACTCTGATCTTTGTACCTGACCATACACGTCTACGTCTACTCCACTCTGATCTTTGTACCTGACCATACACGTCTACGTCTACTCCACTCTGATCTTTGTACCTGACCATACACGTCTACGTCTACTCCACTCTGATCTTTGTACCTGACCATACACGTCTACGTCTACTCCACTCTGATCTTTGTACCTGACCATACACGTCTACGTCTACTCCACTCTGATCTTTGTACCTGACCATACACGTCTACGTCTACTCCACTCTGATCTTTGTACCTGACCATACACGTCTACGTCTACTCCACTCTGATCTTTGTACCTGACCATACACGTCTACGTCTACTCCACTCTGATCTTTGTACCTGACCATACACGTCTACGTCTACTCCACTCTGATCTTTGTACCTGACCATACACGTCTACGTCTACTCCACTCTGATCTTTGTACCTGACCATACACGTCTACGTCTACTCCACTCTGATCTTTGTACCTGACCATACACGTCTACGTCTACTCCACTCTGATCTTTGTACCTGACCATACACGTCTACGTCTACTCCACTCTGATCTTTGTACCTGACCATACACGTCTACGTCTACTCCACTCTGATCTTTGTACCTGACCATACACGTCTACGTCTACTCCACTCTGATCTTTGTACCTGACCATACACGTCTACGTCTACTCCACTCTGATCTTTGTACCTGACCATACACGTCTACGTCTACTCCACTCTGATCTTTGTACCTGACCATACACGTCTACGTCTACTCCACTCTGATCTTTGTACCTGACCATACACGTCTACGTCTACTCCACTCTGATCTTTGTACCTGACCATACACGTCTACGTCTACTCCACTCTGATCTTTGTACCTGACCATACACGTCTACGTCTACTCCACTCTGATCTTTGTACCTGACCATACACGTCTACGTCTACTCCACTCTGATCTTTGTACCTGACCATACACGTCTACGTCTACTCCACTCTGATCTTTGTACCTGACCATACACGTCTACGTCTACTCCACTCTGATCTTTGTACCTGACCATACACGTCTACGTCTACTCCACTCTGATCTTTGTACCTGACCATACACGTCTACGTCTACTCCACTCTGATCTTTGTACCTGACCATACACGTCTACGTCTACTCCACTCTGATCTTTGTACCTGACCATACACGTCTACGTCTACTCCACTCTGATCTTTGTACCTGACCATACACGTCTACGTCTACTCCACTCTGATCTTTGTACCTGACCATACACGTCTACGTCTACTCCACTCTGATCTTTGTACCTGACCATACACGTCTACGTCTACTCCACTCTGATCTTTGTACCTGACCATACACGTCTACGTCTACTCCACTCTGATCTTTGTACCTGACCATACACGTCTACGTCTACTCCACTCTGATCTTTGTACCTGACCATACACGTCTACGTCTACTCCACTCTGATCTTTGTACCTGACCATACACGTCTACGTCTACTCCACTCTGATCTTTGTACCTGACCATACACGTCTACGTCTACTCCACTCTGATCTTTGTACCTGACCATACACGTCTACGTCTACTCCACTCTGATCTTTGTACCTGACCATACACGTCTACGTCTACTCCACTCTGATCTTTGTACCTGACCATACACGTCTACGTCTACTCCACTCTGATCTTTGTACCTGACCATACACGTCTACGTCTACTCCACTCTGATCTTTGTACCTGACCATACACGTCTACGTCTACTCCACTCTGATCTTTGTACCTGACCATACACGTCTACGTCTACTCCACTCTGATCTTTGTACCTGACCATACACGTCTACGTCTACTCCACTCTGATCTTTGTACCTGACCATACACGTCTACGTCTACTCCACTCTGATCTTTGTACCTGACCATACACGTCTACGTCTACTCCACTCTGATCTTTGTACCTGACCATACACGTCTACGTCTACTCCACTCTGATCTTTGTACCTGACCATACACGTCTACGTCTACTCCACTCTGATCTTTGTACCTGACCATACACGTCTACGTCTACTCCACTCTGATCTTTGTACCTGACCATACACGTCTACGTCTACTCCACTCTGATCTTTGTACCTGACCATACACGTCTACGTCTACTCCACTCTGATCTTTGTACCTGACCATACACGTCTACGTCTACTCCACTCTGATCTTTGTACCTGACCATACACGTCTACGTCTACTCCACTCTGATCTTTGTACCTGACCATACACGTCTACGTCTACTCCACTCTGATCTTTGTACCTGACCATACACGTCTACGTCTACTCCACTCTGATCTTTGTACCTGACCATACACGTCTACGTCTACTCCACTCTGATCTTTGTACCTGACCATACACGTCTACGTCTACTCCACTCTGATCTTTGTACCTGACCATACACGTCTACGTCTACTCCACTCTGATCTTTGTACCTGACCATACACGTCTACGTCTACTCCACTCTGATCTTTGTACCTGACCATACACGTCTACGTCTACTCCACTCTGATCTTTGTACCTGACCATACACGTCTACGTCTACTCCACTCTGATCTTTGTACCTGACCATACACGTCTACGTCTACTCCACTCTGATCTTTGTACCTGACCATACACGTCTACGTCTACTCCACTCTGATCTTTGTACCTGACCATACACGTCTACGTCTACTCCACTCTGATCTTTGTACCTGACCATACACGTCTACGTCTACTCCACTCTGATCTTTGTACCTGACCATACACGTCTACGTCTACTCCACTCTGATCTTTGTACCTGACCATACACGTCTACGTCTACTCCACTCTGATCTTTGTACCTGACCATACACGTCTACGTCTACTCCACTCTGATCTTTGTACCTGACCATACACGTCTACGTCTACTCCACTCTGATCTTTGTACCTGACCATACACGTCTACGTCTACTCCACTCTGATCTTTGTACCTGACCATACATGTCTACGTCTACTCCACTCTGATCTTTGTACCTGACCATACACATCTAATCCACTCTGATCTTTGTACCTGTCCATACACGTTTACGTCTATTCCACTCTGATCTTTGTACCCGACCATACACGTCTACTCCACTCTGATCTTTGTACCTGTCCACGTCTATTCCACTCTGATCTTTGTACCCGACCATACACGTCCACGTCTACTCCACTCTGATCTTTGTACCTGACCCTACACATCTACTCCACTCTGATCTTTGTACCTGACCACACACATCTAATCCACTCTGATCTTTGTACCTGACCAT